GGGGTGGGGAGTGGGCATTTCGGGGATGTTGGGGTTGAGTTTCAGGGGTTTCGAGGGGGTAGTGGGTAGTTGTTAGTGGGGGTGGTGAATTGTAGGGAGTGTAGGGGTGAGTTTTTGGTAGGTTGGGTGGTTGTTGGGTAGTAAATTTTGGGTAAAATATCAAATATATATATTTTTTTATTTTTTTTATTTTTTAAATATAAATAATTACCAAACATGTTTTATATTTTTAAATTTTTATCACAGAAAAACAAAAACTAGTTTTGTCTTTTTTTATAAAAAATATATATATAAACAAAAACATTGTCAAACACACCCTTAAGTTACCCTTGTGAATTTTTGTAGGTTTCAGGTGGTAACGAAAAACGTGGATTTGACAAAATTCTTTTTTTTGTTTTTGGGCGAGAAGTTTATGTGTCTATTTTATATATTACCATTACTAACATAATTGCATCAAATTAATATCAATTTAATATTCAATTTAAACAAATTGATATTATTTTTTTTCAATTCACCTATAATTTTATCTAATCAACATCAAATTAATATTTATTTTTACCAAATTAGTACCAAATTGACCATCAATCTCACCAAATTAATATTGAATTTTCTAAAATTAACATAAAATTTCAACAAATTAACATTCCATCACTTCAGTTAATATTAAGTTTTATTAAACTAAAACCAAATTATATTTAATCTTATCAAATTAACACCAAATTGACCTCTAATCTCATCAAACAAAGATTTAATTTTCTCTTATCAACATTTAATTTCAAAAAATTAATACCAAATTGATATTCTATTTTGTTAAATTAACATGAAATTGATTTTAAATTTTATAAAATAAATATTTTCTTTCATCAAATTAATATTTAATCCCATCAAAACAAAATTGTATTTTATATAATTCTCAAACAATTTCATCAAATTAACACCAAATTAACCTTCAATTTGGTCAAATTGACATTAATTTTCTCATAACATTTAGTACCACCAAATTAATATTTAATTTAATTCAATTCAATTAGCATTGAATTTTATGAAATTAATATTCTATTACATCAAATTAAGACTAATGTTCAATTTCTTCGAATTAACATGTAATTTATGTTGGTCTTAATAGGAAATTTGAAATTTGAACTCGAAGGCAATACCTATTACTTTAAGTAGGAAAAAAGGATAAGATTGCACTATATTGATCCCATCTTGGTCTATATAGACAGGTGGGTGTAAATTTGACAATTTGTAAGATAATATGCAGTTACATCATTTGTTTTCATGGTTGTTAGTAATGGTGGTAACACTAAGGGTAGTTCTTGAAATATATATATATATATATGAGTTACAGGAGTACGTAGGGATATTAATTATAAAAAATAGAAAGGATATCAGCGAAATACAACTTAAATTCACGGGATGCTAGTGAAATTTATTCAAATAAAAATTATATTGATTCACAAAGTAATTATAAATAAAATAATTTAATTTGTGATAGAAATGATGATGTGATAAAATAAGCGAAAAAAATATACGAGAATAAAACTTAAACTCTTTTTATTCTTTTTTAAACACTTATGCGGTGATAGGTGAGGTGTGATATCTTTTATATATATATATATAAAAATAATGCTACTTTGATCAAAAATTTGGGTCAAATTTTTGGCCCAAATAAAATTTGACCCGATTATATGACATAATTTTACTCAACAAATAAGGGTCCACAAATACATTGTCTAGGAATCACATAGAGATTCTAAAGGGTGTTGAAGGTTTTATAAACCTTTTTCCTCATCTTGTATCCGAAGCAAGAAGCAAAATTTGAGTAGTAGGATAAAAAGTACTATTTCTCACTCATCATCTAAATGTTTGAATGGATTAATATTGTTAATCTACCCAATTTCCTAACTAGGAAAAACAAAAAGAAAATTAATATATTTTTTCATGGGAACTTTAAATTACAAACTGAAAAGACGAATATTAATCGACCTTTAAGAGTGGATTAATACTTTCTAACATATTACAATGATTTATGTTGAATTTCTATAGAATTAGAATTTCAGTTCTTAGTTGTTAAGGTTGTTTAACGAAGGTATTCCAATATTGTTTTTGTCAATAAAAGACACAAACAAGTTCAAACTTCATTATATCTTGAAGAGAGATTTGCGAATTTTTCATTTGAACACTTTAGTCAATTTGGTGGGGTAAATACAAATTGAAACATTTTAGATTTGTAGTTTTTGCGATCCAATTTCATTATATACCAAATTTGAAGAAACAAATTTATCAACAATCTAAAAACAGTATTTTAAGAATTCTTCTTCATCTATAAAATTACTCTGTCACGAGATGAAAAATTTTGTCAAGTTAAATCATTTTGATGATGAGAATTTTCTTCATTGACAAAAGAAGTTATAATTTATACTTACTACATTGAAGATTATTTATGTGCTGACCACACCAAAATTCAAAGAACAAGAAAATGATAATGTGTGGGGAAATTGGGTGCACACTTAACACCCGAACATGAGAAGCTTCTGGGATATAAAGGCCACTCAGTCTAACTCTTGGAATTGACAGAATTTATTGAAGTTAAGAGGGACTGTTGGGCCACTTTTGGTCCACAATATTGGCAATGATGAAGGTACTATGTTGTGACAAGTGGCACCCTCTATTATTGTTAATAGCCAATGGCGAAGCCAGCTACTATAGACTCTTCCACTCATGCTATTGTCAACACAATGCCCCAATATTACACCAACTCTCCTTCTACAAAGGACAAGGTCAACTGGATTCTCTCTGCTAATTTAAGATTCTCAACTTCCTCATCTTGGAAGCACATTAGGCAGAGGTGTTCTCCTATCCTATGGTATAAGCTGGTTTGGTCTGGGAATGTTGGTCTTAGGATCAGCTTTATCCTTTGGCTGGCTATAAGGTCTAGATTGAGCACCCTTGATAGAATAAATCCTATGCAGCCCACTTGGGCACCATTTGTGTCCTTTGCAGAGCTGCAGATGACACCCACCCACACCTGAGTGCACCTATTCATCAAGAGTTTGGAACACTATTTATGCGCACCAATGGTTTTGTTTGGCAACCCAACCCATGGATTGAAATTATTTAATGGACTGCTACCAATTGGAAGGGGAAAACAATACAAAAGCTGATATGCAGAGTTAGCTTGACAGCCTCAGTCCACTATATGTGTGGTTGGAATGGAACTCCAGAAGATTTAGAAACCACTATAGAGACCCGATTACTCTGAGCCATCTGATCCATCAGGTCATAAGGAACAGATTGTCTTCTTTAAAATTCAAGACTTCAATCAGCAACCTCCAAACAGGCCAGCTATGGAACCTTCCCTCAATTTGTTTCTTTTAATTTAACAGATGTTTAATCAGTGAGCCCTATTAGCACATCTTTCCTTCTCCTAATCTCAGTATAATCTTGTAGATCCATCCTAATCAAAATCTTCATAATTTATATGCATTTACATTTGTTTTAGAGCATATATATGATGCTTTTTAGATGCTGCTAAGTCTACAATATGTTTTTATGGCCAAAATGTATAATGTATAACAATCAAAATACATGTCATTTGGAGCAGTGGTCTGATAGATGATATATAGCACAAAGATAAACATGTATGACTCACCAGAGATCTATCATCTTCTTCTACAATAAAACCACTTTAATTAGTGTAAGAGTTTCTAGTTTTGATTGTAGACAATCTCTCTATAAAAAGATTGAATGTTTCATCCCTCGACAATGTGCAAATTCTCACATATTTTGTGCTATCCCCAAAGTGCTTCCCACCTCTGCTCACTACCTTGTGGCTTTGAAGGAAGTTTTCACAGTCCTCTATTTCACCTTCGCACTTCAGCCACGCGAAAGCTACGGAAGGAAAAAGGACAAACATGAATTGTAACTCCACAACAATTAACGAAAAAACGATAATAAAAATCGGATGCTGCTAATGAATGAATTACAATGTAAATACCAGGCTGTGATTTGAAAGTCCGGCCACTGAATGTGCACGTCCCAAGAGGAAAGTCTGGCAAACTGAAAAGGCTACTCTTATTCACTGCTTCTCTCAGTTGCTTCCATCTCTTTTTCATAACATTATAACCATAATCAAAGAATGTTTCACTTTCTTCAGAGTTACACCCAACATTGTCATAGCTATCAGCCACAGCTTGTAAAATTTTTGCTGCTCGGAGCTGTGAATCTTTGGACACGCCAATGGTGTTGAGCTCTATGAATTTAGTCATTTTTTTAGCAATGTCTTCATCTTTGACAAGAGCCCAACTTTGTCATGCAAAAGAGAGAAAATTAGAAATGTAACCAGCCAACAGAACGTGTATGTTTGCTTTGTTTATCAGGTGAGACAAAATACAATACAGCACAGACTGAGGCTCGCAGGTCTAGGTGAGGTCAGATCTGCGATTTGAAATGTACATATTTACCCTACATGCAAAGAGGTGGTTTCATACAAGTTGAGACAAAAAATCATTCTTTTTTCTTTTGGAAGGTAATAAATCATTCTTACTTTCTACCGAAAAACAAATAATCAAGAAGTTCAATTACGAATATAACAACCACAACAACAATATGAAACATCTCAAATCTTTAATGACAGTCTGCTGATAAGCATGATAAATGGGATGAATAGCATACCCTATGCGACTGCCAGCATGACCGGTGGTTTTGGAGACTGTGAACAGCATGATATCCTGGTCTGCAGGGGAAGAAATTGGAGCATACTGCGGCCAGTAGTAAGCAAGGTCGTGGACTAATATTCCTTCACTTCGGTTGACCACAGCTTGCCTGATCAAGCCATCAGGATTATTAGGGGAGGTCACAAGCTCGATGTAAGGCCTATCTTCACCATACTTGTGAGCATCACCAGCCCATTTATAAAGACCAGACTTTAGGAAGTCGGTCATCAACGGGTACGACTGCAAGCAATTAGCAAACTATAAATGGTTAACCCATTAAAATAAAACAGCAAATGTAAAACTAATCATGCACCGCAAATGGTGAGAACTTGTGGAGCATAAAATTCCAGGTGAAAATCACGTCGATTATTTAGAATCTTATGCTCCAACTATTATGTTACTCCTGTAGATCTGGTTCTGACGATCATCCTCGTCAGGTCTTGAGATAAAATTCAAGAACCTTCCACACTGTTAAAAAATGGAGTTTTGATGGGCAGATGCACAAAAGCATAAAACAAATCTGCATTTATTACAAAGATATATAGCATAATAACGTCCATCTCACCATATAAACCACCATATATATCAAACAAGCTTTAACTCTTACCTAAAAGAGCAAATTGTTCATGCCAGACAAAGGTGTGACCATAAATGGTCATGATAATACATTTAAATAAGGTGAAGGTAAGGGAGGCCAAGTAGCTGACTTTATAGTTGAAATACTAAGATTATTTGTGTACGTTTCTTTAATTTGTAAGTTCTAAGCTACAAAGAATCATTGTGTGACCATTCAAACCTAGATTTCAGGTTCATTTTCTTTCAACAACCGCAAAAAATCTTATAAATCTCTGTGTGTGTTTGTGTGTATGTGAGAGAGAGAGAGAGCAAACAAAAGAAATAAACAAGACATGAATGCATAGACACTTCAGCCAATGTATGAGTAAAAATATAGGATGTTGCAAGAAGGGGGCAAACTATTAAAATACAATCAGAAAGCCACAGATCACTATCTATATTTAAGGGGTTGCAAATATTGCAAGCTAATCAATACTGCCATCATTCTGATGAGCAGGCATTGTGTTAGCATATAATGTTCCTTCTCTCAAAAGAAATATCAAAAAACATATCTACAGATAACTAATTAAGCATGGCTGCCATGTTGCAAAGATAAAGGCATATCAAAACGTACCAAGAAATTATACGTAAAAAGACAGAAGCATCATTATCGAATGAAATATAGGACATGGAACTCACTGAATGGATCAGAAAGTACCAAAATTTTTTTTACATAAAAAGATAGGAAGTGTCGTTATTGAATCAAATATGGTAGGTAAAACTCACCGAGTAGAATGGGGCAGCAGATACAACATCCATGGGCTCAGATGCGTTGGGTGGAGAAAGTGCATACAGTACAGCCAGAAAAAGTTGGGAAGAACCTGTCCCAACCACCACGTGGCGGTCTTCAGTAACGGCATTGCCAACCAGTCTGTGTAGTCTAACTACCACATTTGCAAATTCTGGCTCCAAAAACCAGCAAATGTTTCCGACATCAGAAAAATAGCTTATCGACTGCCAGCCAGAGATCACAACCGTTGTTTTGTCCCCAGTCCTCTTCCAAAACCTCTCATACATTGTTGGGTCGCCACTGCATTGAGTCAGGTATAAAATTAGAAACAACTATGAGTTTTTGGTCGTTGTTAGTACAAAACCATCTTGCTCGATTCTTAAAAACCACTACATAACCAACTCCTCTCGTGTCCATGATTCTTTTAGATGTTTTCAATGAACTATGTTCTCCATGGCTAAGACAAACAGATTTTTCACCTGACTTAAGGGCCAGAGTTTTACCTCATATAAGAAAAATCAAGACATTCAAGTCGAAGTAAAAATCATTTCACACGGTCATGTAGAAAGATTTAACTTTGAACTGTAATCTCAGCATTTATGGTGTTAAGAGTGAATTATGAAATGTGGTAAACATGCTAGAGAAAGATTGCATTGCTTTTGGTTTTTCTTTCTTCTTTTTTTTTTTTTGGGTTTTTTTTTTAGGGTGGGTGGGTGTTGAAACAATGACAATGGTGAGGGTATAAGGCCATAAAACCACCCAAATTGGCCCCACAGAGACTGAATGCATTGTCAAATATGGTCCCTCATGCTACTAGGTTTCTATGAGGTTCAATGTAAAGACTGTCACAGCACCAAGGTTCAATATTAAATGGAAGGTAGGTATGGAAGCAGCACTTTTATGTCATGCTCTATCAGAGTTCCAAATGATTGATTTAAATAACTGGTAAACTTCAGATCCAAATTGCAATGACAGGTACAGACCTAAAGATAGGTTTATATAATAGTTAACACCTAGACATGTCCCACAGAACATTTATGACGAAGCATCCCACCCAACTTTCACTATGGTGCTAAAGGGTGGTCTCAAAATGTAACTCACAAATCACAATTAAAGAGGGTCCAACTATTCCTTTAGATTTCCTCAAAGGCCAAAAGGTGGTCTGTATGCAACATCTGCACAAAAACACCAAGAACCACAAACATGTAGTATAATGTACCAAATTCTAGAAGCCTAACCTGCACAGTAGCTTAACTCACATAAGTGATTCAGCAAAAATTAAAGGTGAGTTGAAAACACGGATGATTTGAGCTTCAATCACACCATGCACATAAAATTCGAGTATAATCGATGCATGCATGTGGTTAACTGCTAAAATTGGTTTTAAAAGTATTAAGATAAACAATTTTCCATCATCAAAATTATGTGGTATGAATGCATATCTGAAAAATACAGGTACAAGACTTAAGAGTTAAGTGAGCTTATTATAATACCTTTTTTGGTACGGTATCTCCACTTTTAGACCCAAAAAAAAAAAAATGAGTCATGCCTGCATTTGTTTTATTAATAATTTTTTAATTAATAATTGTAGATCGTCCAATTCAAAATTGAGAGCAAGGCATGAAACGATACTGTAGCCTTGGAGGACCACCACCACTAATGCAGAACCAAACTTTGGGAACAGAGAGCATGGGAGAACAGAAGTCAAGTACGAAAAAAAAGGCTCTCCCCTCCTCACCACACTCTAACATGCACCATAGGAAATCACAACCAACAGAGACCTGTCTTCGTCTCTCACCCGACAAAAGACAAGAGTAAGGCTCCCTAAGGCACATTTGGCAGTCGCTTCACCATGGTACCAATTAAGAGTAAACAGACGCCAAAAAACGTTTTAAAAAAAAAGTTAGACAAACAAGACATAAACCCACTTGAGTTTGTTCTTTGTAGTGAAAGATTAATATCACCTATGCCTCTGTGATTTTCGAAATATATCACTATGGCCCTTTCTTTTTTGTTTTTTTTTTTGGTTCACTTGACCAACTTATACGCACCTCGACTAATCTTTCTTGATTCAGTGAATGACAAGTCATCCACTTCAAAATTAAGGTATTAATACCTGAGATTCGAATTAAAAACGTCTTCATTTACGATTCGTCTGCAATAACTCCTCTATATTACTCCTTGAGTTACCCCCTTTGGTTATCACTACGCCCCTTTCAACAACACAAATTATCCGCACTCTCTCCTCTCCCCTCCCCCCAAAAAAAATTAAAAAAAAATACTCGGAGAGAGGGAGAACCAAGGTGTATTGGTGTGTGTGAACTAGTGGCATTAATATTTAGACAATTACTATAGGATTCATAACAGGATTGAATGCAACACCATGCTTAGGCTTTAAACAGCCTTTTTCCCCTCATATAAATAGATTATAATTGATTTATTAAGTAGAAAAAAATGGTGGCAGCGGGAAGTGATATATTAAGAAAACTAAAGGGACGTTCCTGATATTAGCAAAAAAAGACAACCACAGAGTTTTAAGATTTACTGGCCGAGATCGATGACACCATCCCGAACTTCCGTAGGAGTAGCAGCTGTTGAAGTCACCAGAGATGTATTTTTGCTAACATGCGCATCGGCTTCCGCCATGAAAGCTTCTTTGTTCTCCAAACAAAACCCAGAAAGGTTCTTTTCTCCTTCGTACAAAACCCTGAAGATCAACCCCACATTCAAAGCCAAAGACACCACCAACACATGCTTCAGAGAGAAAACGCTCCACATCTTCTTTTGATCCTTCATCTCTCAAGAATCCCAGAGTCTGAGATAGCAAATTGAAGAAAATGAGAACTCTCTGAGTACTAGTCTTCAGTGAATGGCAATGCAATCGAGGAACCACACCCAGCTTTATAGCAAAACTCGCCCAAGATGGACCTAAAGTTGTGATTGGTACTACAAATCTTCTGCGCTGCACAGCTTGGGACCGTTACTCTAGCTGTGGGATTCGTGTCAAAGATTCTTGGCAGAGGAACGAAACGACACGAAAATTTTGAGAGACAAACAGAAAACTTTCCGGGAAAATGTTAGAAAACCAGGAATCTTCTTTTTCTGGTTATAATTTCCCTGCAGTTTTGTAGGATTCTTACATGGGCTTAACACAGATCAATCTGAGGTATGACTAAACTTGTTTGTTTCTGTCTGGAGAAGGGAAGGGGTGGTTCATACAACAAACAATTAAATGTCGAAACCGCCATGGTTTTAATAGCCCATTGATTTGAAGTTGTGGGGGGTTCAGAAGATGATAAAAGATGAATCGAAATAGATTGGCATTTCCTTGACAAAGTTTGTCAGGAAGGCAACAATGATTGTGGAGTCACTGAAGCTAGAATATTGTACCAGATGGGTAAGAAGTGTTTGGACAGATAAAGCACCTCCGACAGGAGATTTTCTCAGCAAACCAGAAATAACACCGACGATTTCCTGGAAAATTACGGCTTTCCGGTCTCTGATGCAAGTAGATTCACAGTTTCATACAATTATCCCCCCCCCCCCCCCCCCCCCCCCCCCCCCCCCCCCCCCCCCCCCCCCCCCCCCCCCCTCTCCTTCCCCCCCCCCCCCCCCCCCCCCCCCCCCCCCCCCCCCCNCCCCCCCCCCCCCTCTCTTCTCTCTCTCTCTCTCTCTCTCTCTCTCTTGTATACATGGATTTGTGTGAGCGTTGGGTATCTGAAAGTGCGAAGGGAAAAGGGGGTAGCTTTTCAGGTAAGCGAAAAGAAGAGCTGCTCTGCCTTCTCCTTTTCCCTCTCACTACGTTCGCTGTTGGAGTGTCTGTTCAACTTTTTCTTTTCTCTGCTTTGCGCTTAATAATTTTCTGTTTTTTTTTTTAGAGATAATCTTCAAATTTAACTCAAATTTGAGAAAAAAAAGTTGATTTAATATAAAATAATTAATAGACTAATCTTTTAAAAAATTATCTTACTGTCCCAAAGTTCGTTTTTAAAATTTTTCTCACTAAAATATTTTATCCTCTCTCATTTTTCTGTCTTCATTCCCTTCGCAATATTAAAAATTAAAAAAAAAAAAAAGAGTCCTCAATATTTAAAACATATTTCTTACAAATTTCACCAATATTAATCAAAAGAAAAATCTTGAATATCAATCTCTTTGAGCGGTAGATTCATGAGTTTTTTTGTCGTCTAAAGCAATTCTGTCTAAATTTTAAAATATTAACTCAATATCAACTAAGAGTATTTTTTACCTTCAATTCTGTCTAAAGTAATTTTGTATAATAGGCACAAGAGAGAGTGTGTTTTTTTTTAAGAGTAAGAGTTTGTGAGAGAGAAAAAGGGTAAAAAGATAGAAATAGAGTGCAGAGAGAGAGATTTATATGGAATAAAAAGTTACTCTTGAAGAATAGAAAGAGGGAGAGGAGTTGTTGTGGTCGGCGACGATGACAGCGACTTTGAAGATAGAGGCATGAGAGATCAGAACTTGTTTAATCAAAGGAGTCTTTTGAGTTTAGATAAGATAAGAAATAATGGTTGAAAATTTGACATAAGATTTGAATTTTTCTCAATTTTGATTCAAATATAAGTTTTTCTTTAATTTTATATAAGTTTGAGTTTAAGATTTGAAAAACTTTTTAGGTCATTTTGGTTCAAACTTAAATTCCAATCTAGATTTTAGTGGATGTTGAAAATGCACTTAGATTTTAGAAAAGCAATTTCCAATGGACCATTGGAGTTCCAATTTGGATTAGGGTTCAATTGTGGTGTGGAAAATTATTTTAGTATTTAATTTAATAAAAATTAATTTATTTTATTTAATTATTCTAAATTTATTATTCTTATAAATTAATGGTTGCAACATCAAATACATGAAATCATTTGTATGTACCGATTAAATTTGGGTTTTCTAGGGACAATGGGCCTTAATTTAAAATTCGAGAATCCGCCTTTCGCTTTTTAATTCGATCAATAAATTACTATTTACGTTAGATTCTCTATTTATCTAACTTATAAGTACAAATTAACTGGTCAAAAATGGTTATAGGGAATATCTATGATAGAGCTGTGTGGTTATGACCCTAATTTCTTTTCTTCTTCTGACCAAAGTGAATGGTAATATTGTTTTATCACGTCAGAAAATACCCCATACACATACATATATTGTATTCCCATGAGAGGCAATACAAGACCACTTTGCTCATGAGTCTATTAGCTGACTCTTGATATAAAGGGGAATTTTATGTTAAATAGTGATATCGGTATCAAAAATTATACATGTTATAATTTCAAAAGACAAAATCGATTATAGAAGATTGAGATTGACATCGTATTTTTCATAATCGATCTTGAGTGTATGTGATCAATCATGACCTTCTCTTAAAGAATTATAATTTTTTTTCGATACTATAAAATTTTCCTAAGAAACGAATCATTGGGGGAGTAAAGAATTTCATACTCAAAGTTGAGTTACTGTACAAACTCAATACTTATCATTTGTTTGTGAGAGTTCATTTGGTTGGTTAGTGCATGCATGTACTTGCTGTGAAAGGATTTTAAAATGTTATTAATTATTATAGTGTGAAAATTCATTGTCTTATAAAAAATTTAAAAAGTTTCTTAATATATTATGAATAAATTTACAGTTAGAAAGATAAATTTTTAGATGGGTATGAGTTTTAAATATATATATTGAGTCTTGAAACACGACAAAAAAGTCTCCTTCGTTCAAAAGCTTTAAAGCTTAGTGGGCATGGTCTATATAATCCCACCTGTGATTTAGAGATCATTCTGCTACGCAGAGGTCTCTTTCGTTCTGTTCTTCACTTCCCTCCTCTCCTCCTATTTGCAGGGTTTCTATTCTATGAAAACCAATGGGATGGATATAGGATGAAACTTCATGATTTTCATATTCACTCCAATAGGATCATTTTAAAACTGCCGACTTATCATGAATCAAAGTGGGTCAAATGCTCCTCCAACCTCTCAATTCAATTCAGCCTGTGGACAATATAGCGTCGGAGGTGCAACTCAGGTAGATTAGACGTATTGAGAGATCAATTTAGGCTTAATCCATGTTATAAAACATTAAATTCAACCCTAACCCAAGTATTGTTTATTTTTAATTTTTGAATTTAAGTTATATTAGGTCTATCAATATTCGGTACAATATGATTAATCGACACGAATTAATACAAAATTAAGTGGGTTTGAATGAGGTCTTATTGGGTTTAGGTGGTAAATGGGTAGACCCGCCAAACTCATTTAATAAACAAATTATGTTTGAGTAAAACGTGTCAACTAGATTATTACCTGTTTACTCGTTAAAATAATATTAACATAATAATAAATTAATAATAATTCAAAAAAAAGGTAAAATATTAATAATAAATTTTTAGAGCATGTTCAAGTAAACAACTCAAATGGGTTAAAAGGGTTATCTTGTTAACCCCGCCCCTACCCACCTGAGTCTTTTATTAAACAAATAGCGTCATATGACCCAATAGATTCCCTTTGTATCTCTTTCGATCTATCATAATAGATCAATTTATCTATCCATCGATTTGAAAATAGCCTGATCACATTACTTTTCGTTCATCTCAACCAGACCATCATAGCTGTCATGTTGTGCATGTGCGTAGGGCAATCCTCCCACTATTGTTTGTTCCATAATAAGCAAGTCTTCTTCGATTTGAGAATTTTTATCCGTTTATTTAAATAAATCGAGTATAAGTTTATTATTTTTTCATGTGAACCTAATTAGACTTGACTCGTAACCGTTTAACTCAACATGGTTGATACCTTTAAGTGTAACTTATTCTACTTAAAATCAATTTTGATTCACAAATTACATAAATTAGGGATGAAATTTAGGTTCAATTCAGAGTGAATATGACTTTGATTATCGAACTACACAACTAGTATTAGGATTCGGATTAAATTTCGGGTTAATTTTGGATTGGGTCTTAAAAATTTGAGATTCTAGTACGGGTACCACCAACAAATTAAAATTTCTTTTCTCAAACCTTCCCCGACTATTAAAAATTGATATGCTCAAATACCAAAACTCGAACAAGTTACGCCCCTAACGATATCAAGTAAATTAATCATACTCCAATCTAGTGTCCATATATATTGGGTCCACAAATTCAGGAGTCTGCCAAATGGAAACTATGACATCTATGGGACTAAAGTTTGATGTTTGAGAATTCAATCATGCTAATCTCTTCAAAAGAATATCATGCTTACATCTCATATCTCATAGTATGAGACTTATATTACTGCATTTAAGACTGGTCACTGTCTAAGGATAGCCTAAAACCAATACTGGTTCTTTTGGAGTTAAAAGTCTCTGGCTGTTGTCCTTCTCAAGTTGGGACCAGACTCCGCTATCGAAATAAAATATTACGGTATCATACTGAAAAGTTGTCAGTAGAGGACAATTAAATATCAGTGAAAAGTTTACGATTACAGTAAATAAAATTATAATATTAATAAAAAATTTGTTACAATAATGAATAAAATTATCACAATAATAAAAAAAATTATTATAATAATGAACAAAATTAAAACATCAATGAACAATTTACTACAACATTAATGAACACAATTACTATAATAGTGGGCAAACTTTTCTACCATTTGAAGTACTAAAACTATATTTTGTGGGTTCGTGATCGATCACTAATATTGATTGATTGATCAGTGAAAAAATTACAACATTAGTGAAAAAATTTACAACAATAGTGAATAAATTTACAAAATCAATGAAAAATTTATAATATTAGTGAAAAATGTACAACAACAGTAGATAAATTACAACAGTAGAGGGCAAATTTTAATCAATATGGTGGTAAAAGAACGATTGACACTTTTAACTACATTTGTCGTAAATATAACCCTATTACATCTCACTGATGTCGTAAAGTTAACTACAATCATTTTAAACTTACAATATTTATGAGAAAAATTACCACAGCAGTGGCTAAAATTACAATATCAATAAATAATTTATAACATTAATAAGAAATTTACAACAATAATAGAAATTTTACATAATCATTGCATTTAATCCTGAATTATAGTAAATTTTTCCTTTGATGTCATAAACTTTTTCCAATTGTGGTAAATTTATTCACCATGATTTTAACTTAACCTCTTTTTGTCGTAAATTTATCTTTAATCCTCGTAATGTTACTTAGAATTGTCATAATAACCAAAACAATAGTAATATTAATCAAAACAGTTGTAAATTAACCTCTAAACTTGTAAATTTATAAACAATTGTTGTAAACTTACCCTCAAAGGTGGTAAATCTGTCATTAATTGTGATAAATTATCCACAATTTTGCTAAATCTCACTCTAGTAACCTTGTGATCGATCATAGACAATTGTGATCGATCCCAAACTTACAATTTTTCAAAAAATATAAGTCAAAGATACTTGTGATCAATCCCAAATAGTTGGGATCAATCTCAAATATTCTTTTAACATTTTAAGGTATAGATCACAAAAAATATAGTACTATGATTTATCACAAAACATTCTATCGATCGCAAT